CGTTACCATAGTTCTCCGAACCCGTTACCATAGTTCTCCGACCGTTCCATAGTTCTCCTGAACCCGTTACCATAGTTCTCCTCGAACCCGTTACCATAGTTCCCCCTGAACCGGTACATATTCTCTCCGAACCCGTTACCATAGTTTCTCCTGAACCCGTTACCATAGGTTTTTCCCTTTTTTTTTTTTTTTTCCACGAACCTGTTACCATAGTTTTTCCCGAACCGGTACCATAGTTCTCCCGAACCCAGTTACCATAGTTCCCCGCCCCAACCTCGCTATCATCACGCCTCCCGATCGCATTACACACCCTCTCCCTCCGATCAGCTTTCCCCCACCCCCTCCACACCGATCAGCGGACCCCACCCTCTTCCTCCCGATCAGCGACCCCCACCCTCTCCTCCCAAATTCGCATTCCCCCACACCTCTCCCTCCCCGATCAGAGACCCCCACCCCTCTTCCTGATCAGCGTTCCCACCCTCTCGCTCCCGTCAGCGTTCCCCCACCCTCTCCTCCCGATCACGACCCCCACCTCTCCCACGCCGATCCGCGTTCCCCACCGCCTCTCCTCCCGATCAGAGACCCACCCCTTTCCTGCAGGCAGCGTTCCCCCACCCTCTCCTCCGATCCAGCGTTCCCCCACCCTCTCCTTACCCGATCGCCTTCCCCACCCCTCTCCCTCCGATCAGCGACCCCCACCCCTCTCCCTCCGCGCGTTCCCACCCTCTCCTCCGATCGCGGACCCCCCCCACCCTCTTCCACGCCGATCAGCGTTACCCCCACCCCTCTCCCTCCCGATCAGAGACCCCACCCCTCCTTCCTATCAAGCGTTCCCACCCTCTCCCCTCCCGATCAGCGTTCCCACCCCTCTCCCACCCGATCAGCCGTTCCCACCCTCCTGCTCCTCCGAATCAGCGACCCCACCCCGTCCCTCCCGATCAGCGTTCCCCACCCCTCCTCCTCCCGATCAGCGACCCCACCCCTCTCCCACCGATCCAGCCTTCCCCACCCCTCTCCCTCCCGATCAGCGTTCCCCCACCCCTCTCCCTCCCGATCAACGTTCCCCACAACCTTTATGGGGCACCGTTTGCGACATGATTATTACCATTGAGATTTGTCATTACTATTTTCACTATACTTGAGATTTCATTTTCACTACTGAATTTTTCATTATTCACTACTGAGATTTTTCATTTTTTATACTGAAGATTTTTCATTTTCATACTGAGATTTTTTCATTTTCACTTACTGAGATTTTCATTTTCACTACTGAGATTTTCATTTTCATACTGAGATTTTTCATTTTCACTACTGAGTTTTCATTTGCACTACTGAGATTTTTCATTTTCCATTACTGGAGATTTTTCATTTTCACTACTGAGAATCCATACCTTAAATGTATCGATAGGTGGCGCTCCGAATTGTTGTGTTTACGTTGCTTACGTTACGGTTGCTATGCGTGCGAACAAGAAGAAGAATGGATAAACTTGGCGGATATGTCAGTGTAAGCGATGTGCTAAAGTTGTCCAACGTTTTAGTTGAAGTCAAACCTGCTTAGAAATTCATTGAGCGAACGCACTAAGGCGCCTAATAGGTCGACTAGGCCCCCACATGGCTAGGAAATTCCTGCTAACTTGCCTCATGAAACTCCTTCAGTGGGGGCCTAGTCACCTTTATGGACGCTAGTGCGTCGGCTCAATGAATTTCTAAGAAGAGTTGACTTTCAACTAAACGTTGGACAACATTTAGCACATCGCCTTGACACTGACATATCCGTCCAAGTTATCCATTCTTCTTCTTGTTCCCACGCAATTAAGCACGCTAACGTAGCAACGTAACACGAACATTCGGCAGCGCACCTATCGTATACATTTAGGTATGATCTCAGTAGTCCGAGTGGAATTCATGTAGTGAAAATTCAGTATAAAATCATCACCTCAGTGTGAAATGAATCAACGTAAATTCCAGTAGTGATGAAAATTTATGAATGAAAATCTCAGTAGTGAAAATGAAAACTCTCAGTAAGTGAAATGAAAAATCTCAGTAGTGGAAAATGAAAAATCTCAGTACTGAAAATGAAAAATCTCTCAGTAGTGAAATGAAAAATCTCGTTGCTGAAAATGAAAATCTCAGTAGTGAATGAACAATCTCAGTAGTTGAAAATGATGAAAAATCTCCATAGTAAAAATGACAAATCTCAATGGTAATAATCATGTCCCAAACGGCGCCCCATACACACCTCTACCGCTCGACCCGCTACGATAGTTTCCCCACACCTCCCGGTCTACTATATCTGTACCTCTGCGGCCAGCATCCACTGCTTCAACAGGCTAGTCTTCCATCTACATCCAGTATGTTTTTTCGTATACTCCGCTCTCGTTTGTTACGTTAGCAGCAGCATAAGTCATCAAATATATAACATGAGCTAAGGTGCTAATTGAAGAGGAGTAATAAGTAGGAGCTAATGTGATCGAACACTCAGCACGAGCACCAGTACTCGCAAAATAGCCCGTGCTATCTAAACCGCTGGATTCAACGAGACAAGGAATACAGCAGCAACAAAAGTCGACTACAAGCGAACTCGGGATACGCGTCCCCCATTTTATTAAACGTATTGCCCAATTGAGCAATTCCACAAAAGTGATCAAAATAACAGATCAGAGTATATGACAGCACACGGAAAAGCTAGCCCTTCAACAAATTACGAACAGTCCATAATCATTTATCTTTTATTCCTTCGTAGTTTAAATGATTAATATACGAGTTGGTTCCCGAAGCACGTCGCGTGTGCTTTGAACGACTTACAACCATTCCTAGTAAAGTAGTTGAAGGGCGCGGGAAAACGCGGCTGATCTTCATTTACAATACATACGTTTAGCTCCTTAACATGCAGAATAACACTCACGTGAACATGCAATTACTATTCTAGAGGTTTGTCATATCGAACTACGTGAACCAAAACAGCCAACACTGTCAAATACTAGCAGCCACACGCCAAAGATCAGTGGATAGAATTTGGTAACCACACCTGGTAGCAGCGGGTGCGATTTGACAATGACAGTATAACAGCCATTATTCGATTTATTGCTCCAACAAGAAAATTCCTCACAGAAAAATGCCAATAACATCCGAACTGTCAGTGAAACTTGAATAACGCCTAAACTACAAAGAAATGCTGATGCATTCTAGTAGGTGTGGTTGAATTGCAACAAATGACCTGAGAATAGTACGCATTGTGAGTATCGCTAAACTTGTCTCAGGCAAGTGCACGGCTGGCCACGTGCATGGGGAGCGGTGCACATGACTAGACGCATGTACGACTGGGTAAATACACGACTGCATGGGCACGCCTTGTCGTAGCCATCACGTATATGCAGTCACTGAATAGAACAGCTGTATATATTAACTACCAACTTTTATCTGCTATGAAATGCAAGTCACCATGTTGTAATTCTCTCATGTCATTCAATAGCAGATATTTTTAAAAGCAGGCGATCAGGCTATTTACAGCAATATTTTAATTGGGCGAGTCATTTGAAGTCAAGAAAATTACCACGTGATACCAGAAATCACTCCAAGCTTTTCGATCAGAGATCGATTTCCTACTAAACACATTTGCAACAATAGTGCCATCGATATATCGACATTATTGCATTTGGTTACGCTACAGGATGCCTAATAATAACACATTTATATTCATACAGGGTTTATAGTCGCGAACAATTGAAAATTGTATAAGCTGTACAGACACCTTCCATCCCAACTTTATTTATCTAGGTATTCAAGAAATCATACGTTTACATTATTTCTTTAATTTTTAAATGAGAATAAGCTATTCACTTGCCTCCCCCAAAAGATCTTGGTAATCCTCTGCCTACCCTGACCATCTAAATAATACGAAATTATTTACAAGTTTGTCATGAGATTGAAGTGTATGGTAACCTATTTACCGTGAGGATAACATATACTTATCATGTGTAAAAGAACAACAAAATAATCGATCACCAGAACTTTTTCCCACTAGTGATTTTCTACCTCATACAAAAAACACTAGTAAAAAGACAATAAGAAATTCACAGGCACAAATGTATAACTCAAATTGAGGATACGATTCAATGTTTTAGCCTGCTTTTCCAGCTGATACCAACTTGAGTAATATGGGATTATAGTTTGCGACAAAGCTTTATTGGGCAATATCTCTGGTAAATTACAAATAGTAATTTAACCGAGTTTGTTGGGAAATCTCAAAAGAATAGGATTACGATGTTTTTCAAGCTTTCTTTTCCACTCGAGATGTTTTCAGTTAATATGATGATTGGCAAGAGGCTGCCCAAATTACACCTATGCAAAATTAACATGCATTACGAATCCCTCACATGCCTACACACAGACCCAAACGCCTACACACAGACACACACACCCACACAGACACACACGCTCACACACAGATACACCCACACCCACACACGCCCACAAAGAGACATATGCAAGAATGCATGCACTCACCCACCCACACATGCATGCACGCACACGCACGCATGCGCACACAGACAGACAGACAATACAAACAGACAGCCAGACACACGCCCACTTACAGACACACAATCACACATGCACGCATGCATGCACTCGCGCACACAGACAGACATGCACATGTTTACTATATATGTCGACCCGCTATTCGACATAATGACTTAGAGCAGTCAGTAAACGACTTCAACAGCTCGTCCATCCACATGAGCAAGTGATGTTCCTTCAACACGCATCGATACAACGCAAGCGAAGGACAATGGCTAACGCGGCGGCCACATCTAAACATCTACCTATACCTCACTAAAAATCATTTTTCGAAGTATCCAGCACGTGATCACCCTCGAGTCTCTAAGTTAGCGCCGCGATGCTATTTCACATCAGTGGCAGGCGTATTGTAGAATCGTGCGGCAGCATTAACGACCTGGCGTGTCGTCGCAGCGTGGCAGTTAGTTCCTGCTCTCACTGCGGTAACCTCCTCGTCAGCTGCGACGTTCAGAAACCCTCGGCTAGTAGCAAGTTCCGGTCAACAACGTCGGAACAATGCGAATCAGGCCAGTGAAGTGTTGGAAGAACTGCTGGATAGCGAAGCCGATATAACTCGGCCCGCATCGATTCATTGTTGGTAGGCGTCTGTAGATTGTGTGTTGCTCGATATCAAAGCCAGCAGAATATGGACCCTTGTCGTCTGAGTGTCGGTAGACATTGGTAATGGTATACTGTGTGCTGCTGGATAGCAAAGCCAAAGTGACATGGACTCCGCCGTATCAGTGTTGGTTCGAGTTGGTAGACTGTCTGCTGTTGAATAGCGAAGCCGAAATAACGTGGACCCTATTGTTTCAGTGTCGATAAGCGTTGGTAGACTGCGTGTTGCTAGACAACGACATCAGATTTCCTGGCGTTGCGTAGTCACCGATCATGAATGTGTTGCTGAGTGCGAAGTGGGCAATGTTACCTCCAGATCCTATCATATTCCCCTGCAATGTAAAACAGCAGTTACACGCCTGCCATGGCGATCGCCGCTGCACGGTAATAGGCCAATTAAAACGTTGACGTTCACTTCTTCTTCACGTTTGATGTGGAGAGGAGCATGCAACTCATACTGCTAAGCACTTCATGTACTGGTCATAATGCATGTATCGTAATGAAGAATATTCTGTTCAGGCCACAACGAAGAGACTATGTGAAAAATAGTCACACATCACACTCTCTCGTGTGACATCACACTCTCTCGTGTGGACTGTGACTGATTCGTCACTAATCTGTGTGCTGATTATGGTTGTTCAGGATACTTTGCACTCCAGTTTGTCTGGGAAAGCTGGTCACCATTGATACACAGGCCCTGCACTGACCTGTGTGAAGACACTGGGAGCAATGCCTCCACCTGCACTGCTGGCAAGTGCCAGGCTGGTTACAGAGTGAGGTCTCTGTGATGCTACCGTACCAACTGCTGGTATACAGCCTGGGTGAATCGCTTGAACATTTGCTATAAAAAAGATAGAACTATTACTAATATAGAAATTCACTAAAACAGCAAATTTTATATATATAATATCCATAAAGCTCATCATTAACATGCAAAAATCATCAATGATGAAAATCACGGAATCCGGTACACAGTCGGGAAGTTAGTTACACCATTATCATTATAAAATGGCATTTGTCAAAACCAAAAGATTTATTGATATATATATATATATATATAATTATATATATATATATATATATATATATATTAACTAGATACACATACACACATGTTCAGATTACCAAAATGAGCATAGTTTGTTGATGGTGTATGGTTTGACATCAATTCCCCGTTCATAACTACTGGGTCACCACCGATCACTTGTATGCCCTGTCCTTGACCTTCAAAATAAAGGACGATGTCAGGAAAGTATAATCCTTAACAAAGCACAGTAGGAATTAGCATGACATATTAGTGATAGACGTCTTTAGCCATCTTAGAGCAAGCCGATGGAAATGTTTTGAGCAGCTGACTTCTATCTGGTAAATTTAACAAAACAACACCAACAGACCAAAGGCTTTCCACTGCCTGACAAATGACTGTGACGTTCTTGCAGTTATATGGGGTGTAGTACGGCAAACGAGTAGCGCTGAGTCACTTACCCGTCTGATTTGGTGTCAGCATATTATACGCATCGCTGGGAGAGGCCGTGTTCTGACCTGGGGGAGGTTGAGGTGGTTGTCCCGTGTAGCGGAAAAATGGGTTCTTCAAGTCAAGAGTGTTGCTGGATCTGACAGTACTGCCCTCTCTGTACAGAACGATCTCGACATCGTAGCTCTGTCTGCAGAGTTAAAAAGCATGTGCACATTATCTTCTATGCTTGGCTCCACGGAATAAAATGATCTGCTTTTATCATTGTACTACAAACTGCAGTTACATCTCTTGTTATGTTACATATGGTGATCACCCCTACAGCTCCATTACAAACTGTATTTACCTCTTATCATAACACCATCAAGTGTAGCAAATTCTATCATTACCCAAGCAACTGGACAATGAACCATTTACTAGGCTTACACAAACACTACTGTCTCCACAAATATCTTATAGTCTAGCGAACCCATACCTTTCGTTGGCCGTGAGAACCACCTCTCCTAGAAGTCGGTCGCCTGTCTTGACAAAGATAGGGTTTTGCACAAGGCACCTCACTTGATACCAGTGTGTCAGAGGTTCTGTGGGCGATGTTGAAAGCCATACCGATTGCCTGTCAAACAATTATGCAATATAGAATCAAAATACAATAATAACAACATCAATTACGATGATCCACAATCAACAGAATTTAAACAACCAATATTGAATGACAGGTTATCATTTCCATCGCTCAATTACTTCATCTTACCATTATGTGTGAAATGTTAAGATATATAAATAACAGTGGCGTAGCATAAATTTAGCGGTAATCCTGAAGTGATAAGCACGTTAAATTTATTATATTGTGCTACCTGTCTTGATTTTATGTAGTTTGTAATCAACTTTATCAGCAGAAATGCTTCTCTATTACACTAAAATTTACTTTGAAACTATCCATCATATTCGTTTAACTATATTACATGGCACATTATGATTCATGTAATTTCGACTTATTTCCATAGAAAACGCTAGAGTGGCAAATGCCCTGCTGGGAACTTACTGGGATCCCAGGAAGGCAACGTCGAACCAGAAGGCAAGACCGTGAACGTGCCCGGAACTGATGGCTCGGAAGTCTAGAGGTATTTCAATGTGATGAAGATCCGTCTCCTCTGCTGTCTGAAAGTCCACGCTGTGCTTGATGCTGCGTGCCAAGCAGATGCGCACATCAAATGTATCCTAGATCACGAAACAGAAGAAAAAACACTCACTTAAGATGCAACCAATGACTAGTATATAGGTTAAGATAGTACGCACTAACTACAGTCGAAGCTTCATATAAGGGTCAGGTTACTCTAGGGAAATGCCAAGTGATGTTATAGACAGATGTCTGTTCTATAGAGGTGATATCTAACACGTTTGACTGCACTATATACTTTCAGATAACAGGCAATTTCAACAGACATCAAGTGACTATGCATTGTTCCAAGATTCTTAAAACATGCATCCCTGGTAAATATAGTGCTGAAGCAATTTACTATTACCAAGACATCTCCAAGTAAACTAGCACGTGATTCTGCGGTTACCCTGATGTAAATCGATTTATCGCTGTCGGACTATGAAGCCTATTAAATATAAGTTTAACACGCCGATCCGACACTGAAATCAATGTTCTGTGATAGTGTAGTACAGCGTTTTAGCATTGAGATAGAGATATGGGAAAGTCCGACATATTACCCTAGCAACGGTTCAGGCAATGAACCCGGAATACATTAGCTGTGCACATAAGAGCACACATAGAAATAAGCATAGACAAAATGCAGGTAGAAGGATACAGACACATTAACTCCGGTGGGAATGCGACGAAGCTGGTGGTCATTAAGGGGGCAACGACCACGTAGATTGTCACCCCTGCCGCTACCAGCGGACGGTAGTCACGACAGAGCGTTGTGTCCACGACCCGGGTAATAAATTAGAAAGGCCGGCACAGGTCGCGAGTTGACGCAGAGAGTTTAAAAGGAATGGGTTTTGGTGTAAAAGTTGGAGTCTCCGACCACCACTTGGTATGTGTATACACTGTTGCTATTCGTGTTTTAGAATAAACCTGTAGTTGTTTACCGTTTACATCACCGTACATCTACTATCTGCGTCTACTGTCTACAAACGTATATTCAACGCTACAATAGTGACATACCACGATGGGCTGTCTGAAGTACTCCTCAACTGCCTGCTGTCGCAGGCTGGTCAGGTCGACTCCATGAAATGATTCCTGGTACCTGTATACAGACGTGAAACAACATGATAAATGTGCGTAAGGCAGACCCACAATATGACAACACACAAATTGCCACCTTTGTCTGGTAAACTGCTGTGTGTAGCTTTGCAAGCGTTAACTTTACTGGATAATACGTATAATACATGAAATTGTTCCTTTAGTAAGAAGCATCTATTAAATCCACCTGCACATCACCAGGTCAACATTAAAACCCACTACACAAATTATCTACACAGGAGAGATAGCAGTGCACTATTTACTAAACCTACAACTATACGAGTCAATCATTTAAGTTCCAAACACATTTCAGTTAAAATTCAGTTGATAGGTCCATCACATACAGAATGTTATGTGATATTCAGTCTCATATAATACGCAAGTTGTTTTGCTTACCAGAAGTTCGCCTTGCTGAATTGTTCCATGAACAGAGCTTCATCAGTGAATGGTGCTATATGCAGATCACCACACGTTGGGAACATTTTCCCTGAAGAAACCACAAAACTGCAATCAGCATTCTTGATAGAGTCACACAAGTCCACCGATAAAATAAACTTCCAAGCATTTTTGTTAAATAATCGTTGGGTTTAAAACATATTTGACCGCTATATCTATAAGCAACGACAATTATACGAATAGATTCTTCAAAAATACGATTAAAATTTTTTTCCCTATTGGTGACGCCAGTCTAATGACATCATTTGAAATTAATTATTATATTATTTATTATAGATGTGTAGCGATTGTTTTAATTCTCATTAAATCACAACCTGTTTATGTAAATTATTTTTTTTCTCCAGCAAATTCAGTCACAGATTGTCCTAATAGGGACTCACTAGCATGTCACGCCAACATATACCGCTAACCATCGGACCCTAGCTGGAGCGATTTTTATGCACAACTGCCCTATATATCACAGCAACAACCAACCAAGCACCAGCGCAAGTTTATAACTTCATGTATCACTCCGCAAACCAATTGGACGTCAGCGATTTTCCAACACACCGTTCAAATTAACCGCACGAAGCACGCAGCTCCAGCAAACCGATTTTAAAATGGATCACACGTAAACCTCGTTGCCCACCGCCCTTACGGATGGCAGTTCCGAACCGTAGGACAACGCACCCCCGGGTTTCAGCCACTTCTTCGCGTGCAGGTAGGTCTCCAGCATGCGCTCGTTGAAGAGCATGTAGCCCATTGGCTCCGAGATAATGATGTCAACCTTCTCCGGCAGCATAACCTCCTCGATCTTGCCCGAGATCACTTGAATCTTGCCGGTCAGGCGGTTCGCGTGAACAAGACTCTGGAGAGGCGATAACACAAACGTACTTAATAACATAATGTAATTAATAACGTAACTTGCCGCCAAGATCGTCGCAGACTATGTGTGCTGTGGGTCTTATCGCTTTCGTAAACTGTCTAGAATTTCGACATCACTTTCGGTAATAATCATCTTGGAAGTTTTTAGTAGGTGAGCTTTGCAGGCTGGCAAGATCGGCCATTTTAAACTAATGTGAAAAATTATCGTGACTGCTGATCCCAGGTAGGAGTGATGAGGGTGTACAGTTCACTTCATTCGAGATTATAACATTGCACACAAGCGCTTCCAGGCACGCACACTACTGACAGCTGTTTCGATATATTTGCTTCGAGTAGACCAAATGAGACGTGTATCACAATTTAAACATTAAACACTCACCACAATCAATTTTTTCCCTAATTAATTGCTGAGCATTGAAATATGACTTACACAATTTCTGAATATATTTTGTTACCATGAATGGGTCTGTACAAGATCACACTTACCTCTGCATGCTGGGCCATAGAACTGGCCTCTACGGCATAAACGAGTCTTGCACCAGCCTGGACAGCAAAAAAGGACAGGATACCTGACCCTGCCCCTACATCTAGAACCACCTAGAAAGCACAAATATAGTAAACCGTACAAACACCTGCCATTAAAACAATCTAATACTGTTGCTACTGTTTGTGAGATCGGACTTGTAATTAGTGGCCATTCACATGAACATATGCATGAGGTTCATGATGATTAGTTGAAAGTGAAAAAAGAAACCAGATAGGTACCTAACCGAACGCTACACGTGTTCTTCGTCAAAAAAATTATTAACAGTGACGCACTGCCTCAACTGGTATTACCTGGTCTCTGAAATCTGATAGATTAGCTAGAATGGCAGACTGATAGGTAGAGGTCCTTATATAGTCCTGCATCATGTTCTGTTGCTGCGACAGGTATCCATAGAACTGCAAAGATAACCATATATACTATTATATAGCACGCACTGTATACATGCGTACACTTGTACCACACTGTGAGATAAAAGTGCTAACTGCCCCAGCTTTGATTTTTTGCTGATTGCTGATCAAGCATTATTTATCTTTCAGATTGCTCATATAAAAACAATTTCAACTTTTCAAATAAAGGCTAGCCTGCATATACCAGGGATCATTTGTAGAGAATTTTATGCATGCAAAGTTATGTAACATTAAAAACTGACCAGAGTATACACTGTTTATACTGCTGGAATAGATACCTGATAGACCCATATATGATAAACTGTATTTGCGACATCGTTATGACAGGGAGATAATGATACATAGGCAGGAATGTGATCAATCAGAGAAATCTTATTAGAGGACTCAGTGCACCGCCCCAGAATTTCAGAAGGCATGTCATTTATGGATGGATGGGGAGGGCCCGGGAGCGGGGTCATGTCAATTCCAGTCAAACACATGTGTGATATGTTTGACCCAATAAACAGGTAAACTCGATCAGGCCGGAGACGTATTCATCAACAAGTGAAAACACAGCTTGACTGTTATGTGTTGGTACAGGGTTCGAAATTAACACTCGCACACTCGCAAAATGCGAGTGGATTTCCGAAATTGCGAGTAGAAAATATAAGCACTTGCATTTTTGTGCGAGTGACATATAATCTGTTTATGATGACTATAACACATAGTTGTGATGACTATCAAAATCCAACATCCCATATCCAGGCATTTTAAAAGTAACAAGTTGTCAACATAAGTCATAACGGAACTAGACCAACTAATTTCTGCAAAATTATAAACATGTACTGTCTACAAACTGAGTAAGGATTATAAATCTTGCGCGATTGGCCGCTACCGAGAGTATTCTATCTTCGCGCTTTGTAGCCAGGTTTAATAAAGTCGTCTCAACATTATATAACATTTATAAAGTAACTAAAAAGATAACCTTTTTAATTGAAGTGTTATCATATTATACACATCAAAAATAATTATATTAAAAATGCGAGAGTGTTTCGGATTTTGCGAGTTGAAATTTGATCCACTCGCAAAAAATTGCGAGTGATTTCAAAAGTTAAATTCTACCCCTGTGGTATTGTCAAAAAAACAGTTAGAAACTAAGGCATGTCGATTAGACATAAAGGCATGTTGAAGAATTAATGGGATGTCACAAATTAGCATCAGCTTTCAAAATATGACAGATCCGGCATGCATTAAAGGTCTGGGGAGAAAACGAATTGGGCAGTAGGTACTACCTGTACACTCGGTCACTCAGAAATTATTTATCAACAAGTGCCGCAGAGCGACAGCGCTCAACTGACGTGTACTGTAGCCGGGTGTTCTTCTGATAAACTCACTGGCAACCGAATCAAGTGCGCCCTCCCGCCACCGCGTTAATAGCAAAAGCAGTTCAGTCCTTTGTTAACAGTCAACAAATCCATGTTTAACCCTCCTCTTCAGGGACAAAAGGTTATCAGACACTTAATCTTCGCACGGCAGCGGAAAGTAGATTTCACGGTCCTTTCAATAAAGTCATAAAAATGGTAGGGCAGCGCTGAAACAAAAAGTTTTGCACTCGGTCCGTTAGACCATGTCCTCAGAAAATGTCTGATATCTGACCTTTCCCCCACTGCCCTTTGACCTGTGACCTCCAATTTCGTGCTGGTGATGGGTTTCCTCCCCATCACACTATACATCGAATATTAATAACCAGGTAAACTCGATCAGGCGGAGACGTATTCATCAACAAAGTTGAAAACACAGCCTGACTGATTATGTGTGGGGGTACAGCGGTTCGAAATTAACACTCGCACACCGCAAAATGCGAGTGGATTTCGAATTGCGAGTAAGAATATAAGCACTTGCATTTTTGCTTGGCGAGTGACATATAATCTGTTTATGATGACTATAACACATAGTTGTGATGACTATCAAAATCCAAACATCCATATCCAGGCATTTTAAAGTAACAAGTGTCAACATAAGTCATAACGGAATAGACAACTAATTTCTGCAAAATTATAAATCATGTACTGTCTACAAACTGAGTAAGGATTATAAATCGTTGCGCCGATTGGCCGCTACGAGAGAGTATTCTATCTTCGCGCTTGTAGCAAGGTTTAATAAAGTCGTCTCAACATTATATAACATTTATAAAGTAACTAAAAAGATAACCTTTTTAATTGAAGTGTTATCATATTATACACATCAAAAATAATTATATTAAAAAATGCGGAGAGTGTTTCGGATTTTTAGCGGAGTTTGAAAATTTGATCCACTCGCCAAAAAAATTGGCGGAGTGATTTCAAAAGTTAAATTTCTACCCTGTGGTATTGTCAAAAAACACGTAGAAACTAAGGCATGTCGATTAGACATAAAAGGCACATGTTATGAAGAATTAATGGGATGTCACAAATTAGCATCAGCTTTCAAAAATATGACAGATCCGGCATGCATTAAAAGGTCTTGGGAGAAAACGAATTGGCAGGTAGGTACTACCTGTACACTCGGTCACTCGAGAATTATTTATCAACAAGTGCCGCAGAGCGACAGCGCTCAACTGACGTGTACTGCTAGCCGGTGTGTTCTTCTGATAAACACACGTGGCAACGAATCAAGTGCGGCCCTCCCGCCACCGCGTTAAAGCAAAAGCAGTTCAGTCCTTTGTTAACAGGTCAACAAATCCATGTTTTAACCCTCCTCTTCAGGGACAAAAGGTTATCAGACACTTAATCTGTCGCAATCCGGCAGCGGAAAGTAGATTTAGCGTCCTTTCAATAAAGTCATAAAAATGGTAGGGCAGCCGCTGAAACAAAAAGTTTTGCACTCGGTCCGTTAGACCATGTCCTCAGAAAAATGTTCTGATATCTGATCTTTTCCCCCACTGCCCTTTGACCTGTGACTCCAATTTCGTGCTGGTGATGGGTTTCCCTACCATCAACACTAATACATCGAATATTGAGAGCGTAGTCGGAGCCATTGAATTTTGTGCCGCAATTCCGTATTTCCTACCACATAACCTTAAAATATTCCCCCTCAATTGACACATCTTTGACCTTTGACCCTTGACCCCAAATATCGCCATCACTTTTCGCGGCCCCCCCCCCGCCGTTGCCCCGAATATCAAGATAGTACGGCGCGCGATTAAGATTGTGCCGTAACTGGAATTGACGACGGACGGTACGAGACGGACGACATTCATGCGATTCTACAAGCTGCATCTGGCTTCATCAGCTGAGCTAAAAACTGTGTGCATCCAGAAATGTGCTGAATGAGAATCGGCTATTAGCTATGTCACTGACACGACACCTGATAAATACTGTGTTTTCAGAACGCGTCTTCTGTTCTCTCTGTGAACACCGACACATCACTGACTCCCTTCTTGAATGGCCACAAGCATTTTGGAAATGTGTTAAAAATCTAAAAGATAATAAAATCCAGTTAATATTTAAAACAGCCACATAATCAATGAGCAATGGCCACTAAAAAACGTATTACAAACCGAATATCAGTTTCTAAACTATCCTTTATAATTCCTTATAAACCTTTATAACCTTATTATAATACTTAGTTCGCTAAGTAAACCTTCATCATGTAGTCTTTCAACCACTGACCTTTGACACTTAATATTTCAAAAGTTCGGATGTATTTTTTTCACAATGTCTATTATATGTTGATGTGAGGTGGCATATCCATCAACAAAATGTACAAAGCACAAAATTTTTACATTATCAACCTGCCTCCAATGTTAAAAAGCAAACCAGACTAGCAAGTAGCTAATAAATGAACTGGGCATCTTACTTACATGCTACTCAAGGACTAAAGCCGGGAGAAGCACATTCCAATAGAATGCTTATCAAACATTATTGAGCTGTTAAAAATTAGACCCTGCATTTACATATTATATATGTAAATTAGACGTCATTAGCTATGCCTTGAAATGATCAATAGTACGATGAACTGACCTTACCATATTATTTTACCCATGCATGCTTAATGTTTTTTATATATGCACTGCGGCCTAATCATTATAAATGTTCTAAGCCATGACGACATTATAATATACATAAACTGTAAATGAAAACTGGATGATTTGGATTGTATAGTTAGGTCTGACAAGGCCATCAACATTATCGGGATATATATCATAGACAAAGGGGACAAACATAAGTTCAGTTACGTGTATAAGCGACAATGTGTTATTTCGCCCAGAGGTTTTAATTTTCGCACGCATAGTGTCACGGAACGCATCCCTGACAGCGAAAATTAAACAAAATCTGCAGATGGACTATACTGAACTATTTACTGAATATCTTATAATTCACGACGCGAAATTAACCACTCCGAATTGTCGTCAAGTCATGATATTTCGCCGCAGAAAATATCATGTATGCCAAAAATATTGCGTATAGAGTATTAACAGCTGCAGTGTCAAAACTTGCGAATCACATATACTAGTATGCGAAAGATCTTCTGATCTCGTCTGCTTCTTGCTCATAGGCATCAGCGAGGTAGTTCGACCAACATGTATTAGCATTAAGCAATCGTGCGCTAGTCCATACCATGTCAGTGGTGGCGCTTAGAAATTAATCTCGTTTGATTACAAGGAGCTCCAAAAACGAACTTCCCTGCCTCAAAAAAGAGCGGATCCGCAGCAGAAATAAGCTGCCGCGTCCGCAGTCTATAACGCTTCAAACTAAAGATATTAACGGAATAACGCATACATCGTGCTATATATACGTAACGGAGGCGTTGAGCATTCATGTGGTTGGCAGTAGTCTGCCAAATTTTCTTTGAATAGTTTGCTCGGAAAAAATATGGTAATGTCCACGAGCGTCGCTGCCTTCTGGAACAAACTATTAGTAGTATAGCCAGAATTTTCAAAGGCAGTGACACGCAACTCCTGCATATGTCAAAATCAGGGCGCAGTCGCACAGTACAAAACCAGGGAGTATTTGACTGGGGACACACGT